TTGCTGAGGAAAGGTCACTGAAAATATTTAACAGTAACTGCTCTGTCAAAGCCCCCCACCACTTATAACGCAACAATAGTAAAGTATACTGGAACCAAGTGGGGAAGATCAAGTGAATCCTGTGTTCTTTTTGGCTAATTGAGCCAGCAAGGTTAGCCTATCTTGTCCCCTGCAGGATTTTCCACTTGGTTACAAGAAAAATTTTTTTGTCAACATAAATCCTTTATTAACCAAGCTTGTTCGGTCAAGATGGCCGGATTATGCATATTTATTGTACTCCATTTAGTCATGTTAACCAGTTCTTTTAATTCTTGAATAACGTTTAAATATAGTGCAAAAGATAATGCTCGGTTACAAGTTAGTACACTTTTTTCATGATTGGTTTGTTTGGTGAGCTGTATTCCACTTTAGGGACCACTTGTTAGCTGTGTTCGTTTATACTCAAATCAACCACCAAATGGTCTTTGTTCTGGACTCCTATTTCAGACTCCACTGCAAAATGTTCAGCTATTCTCACAATAGGCAGTGAGGGGAAGACAATGTTTAATGGATATGTGTTGGAACCTTTGGTTCTTCTAGTAGAGGTAAAATAATACTGTTTGTAATAGCAAGGTGGTCATATTAACAGGTTCTTACAACTGATAAAAATAAAGAATCAGAGTTTTAAACATTTGGATCAAAAGAAAATGGACATAATAACGAGATGGTGCTATAAATGGGGTGGGCTTAAGGCAAACTTTCACTGTATTACTGGGTACCAGAAACTTCCTGTGGGCTACACTGCAATTTAATAGTATCAATGAAAAATTGGGGGAGCGTTTCATGCTGGTGAAACAGAGATACGCTTTGGCCATGTGGGCCTTGTTGGTATGAAGTGTATTATTTATTTATTAATTTTTTATCAAACCGTTCAGTTTGGGTATTGATTGTCTCTTTCTTAGACTAAGGGTCTGTTCAATTGATCATATCCAGAATAGGAATACCCAATAGTATTATTGCAAATCTCTTGTGTGGTAATATTTGGACGACTTCATTCCATTCACTCTTATTTGAGAATACAGTCAGTTGAACACTCCGTAAGTCTTGGTAGTTTTCTATAGCAGTTACATGATGTCCTAATCTTTTAGTTCATTTATTACTGGGGTTTGTTCTCATTTTTTTTTTTTCAGAGCTACTGCTGCATTGTCTTGTTAGCAGCTGTGAGCTGTAGATTTCTCCAAAAACTTGCAGGTAGCAAAAAAGCCAAGAAAAAGAAACCTGTACCTGCACAAACAGTAAGTAGGATAGTGAAAAACATCAATAAAAAAATTATTATTATGGTAAGTTTTCGTAATGTTGTTAAAAAAATAACTCAGGGTGAGTGTTCATCTTTCAATTAAGAAGCCTTGATTGCCACTAAGTCATCTAACCATTTCATTCGTTTCTTTGTTATCTTCGTCTTCTTTTGTTGTTGTTGTTGGTTTTTTGTGTTGTTGTCGTTGTGTCATCAGCCCACCATTTTTGGTGGGCTGATAACTAAATCACTTAAATTGATCAAACTAAATTCTGTGCTGAACTCAAACCTTTCTGTGTGTCCTTTATGCCAGAGGTTGGCAAAGACTCCAAAAAAAACCCCACTAAACTTGTAAATTAGAAATTCAAGTTGGCACGCAGTTGCCGGTTGGCAGCCAGTAACTCTGTATCTCAGTTTTCTTTGGCTAACAGATATTTCCTCACTCAGAGTCTGTTTACCAAGAGGTTTTATGTAGCACATGCATGTTTAAAACACAAGTCATTTTTCTTTTATTAGAATGAGGAAACTGGTCCATTCAAGGCATTCCTATCCACTCTCCAGTCTAACATTTCTTCTCTTCATGCATCACTTGTGGAAGTGAATGTTGCACAGTTATCTGACGATCTCTTGGAACTAAATTTAGTTGAGCTCGACAATGAGGTAAAGTTTTATTTTACAAGCAAAGAAAAGTTGTGCAGAATTTCAAACAGTACCAGATATTCACATAACAGCTTAATGATCATTACATTTACAGTAGTTTTTGCATTAATCCTTTCGTTCATTCCATAGACCAAGTCTTCTATTGTGTCGGAGATTTGGGAGAAGTTACAGACCAGTTACAAGCAGTCAGTGAAGGAGATTTCAGAACTTTTACATCATAAAGTCAAATTTGCCAAATCTCTTCAAATATGAATTATGTGGATATGAAACAAGTAAATGTGTAGAATCTGGTATTATCAGAGGTATAATCCACATCCCAGCAAGTAAGGTAGTGCATCTTCTTTCAGTTGCACAAGGGTCCTAACTGGACATGCTGGTAATCGAAGTTGGCTTTATCCAGCAGACTGGAACCTTCAAAACTACAAATTGAAGATCAAACAGAGACTGTGTTTTTACAGTGGAGGCTGTTCCAAGTGGCATCTGGTCACTTGGTCTAGGTTTTGATGAAAAAATAGTGGGGCCCTAACAAATATGTTTTGAAAGGGCAGTAAGCTTACTGTAAGGAGTAAAAAGAGCATAATAGGCTTTTTGTAATCTTCAAACTCAAAGGAGTGTTTTTGCAAATTGATCATACAGAAGACAGCCCAAACAAGCAGATTACAAAACGATCATGAAGTAGTAAGGGTTTGCGAGGTGGAGGCTAACATTGTTGGTTTCATTTTGGAGACATTAGTTCTTTCTCACAAACAAAACTCCACTTGGAGTTTGTAAATGTTCAGAAAACTCCATGAGTATCATGTCTCTTATGAGACTGTAACTCAAGTTAGGAAAGGCATAAAAATCACACATCTTCCATACTACATACTATCCACGTCTATCACAACAAAAAACACAATGAACACACAAATGTAGATCATGCTGCAGTGGTATAACTTGATATAGAATATTATTGTATTTTTAAATTTGTAATGTATTACCAGTAGAAAAAGTCTAGAATGGGTTGCAATATTGGTACCTGTCCAGGAAATCATGGGCCGTAGAAAATTTTTATGTTGCTAAAAATCTCAGACATGTTTTTGTGGCGAGTCTCAAAAGTCTCATGTGTTTTATCCTTGTCTCTGAGTCTTGACCATTTGCTGCCTCCGATTTCTAAACCACCTTGTTAAATTAGGTTCTTGTTTTTTGCAACAAGACTGTCAAAAGGTGACAGGGATTCTTTTTTCACTTCATGCGAGACCATGAAGTGTGTTCTGTTATGACTATAGTAAGCTTTAGTAGTTTGTGATGCAGCAGTTTATAGTGGCTGACTGTGACAGTCTTTTGCAGGGAAAAGCTGTTTTTTTTTTTTATTTAAACTTATTCCGCAAGAACTCTTTACAAACATTATTGACATAATAGTACTGAAAGATTCAAGCAACTATTAAAAAAGATTTAACCAGCCAGCCAGAAACCCTTCCGAGGTGATACTCAGAATCAGCATAAAAACACTTTACTTGTAGTGTTATTCACTGCCATACAATCATTTTTACTCATAGTTTGCAGTGTGAATTATTAAGGATTACAACTACTTTTTCTAGTGCCATTTCCGAATAGTTGGCCACCTATTGCATCTCTCAACATTAGTTCAAAAAAGCATTTACATTCAGAAGAACCAATAATGTCATTAAGTGTTCTGGACATAAGTGGCTGGGTATTCTACATTTTAGCCTTAAAAAGTAAGCGTTATTTATGCTATGAAATTAGTCCAAGGTTTCATGCTCTATTTTTGTAAATAAAATTTTAAAAAGGTAGTGAGAAAGAGAGTAAGACAAGAAGCTAGTCCCTTCTCAAAATTTCACCAATTTTGTTTTAACCTGCAGGTAGGCTGTGGTGTGTGAGCCTCTTTTGTATGGGGTTATTTTTAGCCACACAACTTTTGTGACAATTTCTATTTGCTGACCAGTACATGTGAAAAAATTTGGCCAAATTTTGTGACAAATAAACGTTTTAACATGTGAAAAGTTGTCCATTAGTTTGCCACATAAAAGGTTGTCACACATTGATTTGTGCTGACATTACCTTCCAAGCGCCCTCCAATCACAACTTGGTGCCCTTTGCCATTTTCCTATACTTGTGTTGTGTGCCCTGTTCAGTCATTTCGCCATTTATAGAAGCAGGTTTAACATGAGGTATGCAACATTTGGTATTTCATTTAGTGTGGATGTGATTGTATTTTGTATTAATAAAATTATTGTCATGAACAAGCTGTTCTGAGCTGTTCAGTGATGCTTACAAGTACAACCTGCTGTTGTTTTAATGACAAAACCTGGTAGAACCATCCTAAAGAATCAATTTGTCACATTAATCCAGAATTTAGTCACAGGAAAATAAGAACAAATGATGTAATGAAAGAAAAATTACATGGTTTTACTCTACATGGTTAATGTCAGTGGAAGAACCATGAGGGTCTTGAATTAACTTAGGAGGAATGGCTGCCCACATTATGTGTCTGGTGTGACCATGTAAAAATGGTGGTCCTATCCTTAAGTAAGTACATTGACACTTTGGTAAAGTCTCATTTTAATCCAACAACTTTTTTGTTTACAACAATGAAGAATCATGAATGCAAGCAAGAGACATCAGAGTTATGTTGTCTCTTTACTCTTGGGGACATTGGCCAACATAAAAAACACTACACAATGGCAAATAGTGTTGTACATTTGATTAAACAGCAAACGTTGTATTTTGCTTTATTCACTTACAATGTTGTTAAATCCTAAACCTTTGACAAATAGTTTCCAAATTGAGGGATTGTTCAATGTTGTAGGGGCACAACATTGAAATGTGTCCATTGGAATTTCTTGTCCAGCTTGTTGGCTTTTATACTCCACTTGCCTTGTCTCTTTAGTATAGGCAAAGTTATCCATATCTTCCACTTTCCAGTTGCATTGTTTCTCTCAAATATAGGTAAAGGTTTTGTTTTGAGTTTCTCTTCTCATTTTTTCCAGTGGCTGCAAGATTCACCATTACTCATTTCCCTATTTTAAGTAATGGCATTTCAATTTCAAAATTTCTTCCTTCGGCAAGGCTACTGGCTAGATTGCCCTTGTCCTTGAAGCTGACTCATCAATTTTTCATCCTGCATGGACATTGCTGTTAGTTTCTTGCCAATTCGATCATGAATCTCCAAATACTTGGCAACACACCGATCTAAACACACTGACTCTCCTTTTGTTAGATCACCTTCCTTGTACTTAGGGGATATACACTTCTTCTGACATGCTACTGTTAATCTGAAAAAGATGCATGGTATAAGAACGTTTGACTGGAAAACCACTGGGAAATTATCTTGGTCAATAGAGGGATTCATCCTATTAGTTGCATCATAGGTAATCAGGGCAAGATGGCAGTAGACACTGAGTAGATTCTCAGCCTAAAAAATGCAGTCAGAAAAATGTGCTAATAAACATATATCTGCTTTTCTTTTACTTCCCCTATAGAAATCTTCTCTTCTGTCCTACAATCTGCAGGAGTTCCATTTTTTCATACCTCTTCAGAAAATTTCGTCAATAACGGTGAGGGGGGTGGGGGAAGGAGAGGGTATGTATAGAAAAAGGGAATAGCCCTTAAAACGTGTATGTTTTTGGTCAAATGGGTTGAGGTTTGTCTGCATACAAAGAGAGGAAATGTACAAGGATGTCTTTTAATGACACAGTTTCCCTTCCTCTGTCAGCCATAATTTCCTGTCTCTCACTGTTCTCCATTTCGTCTTAAAAGCTTGTACAGCTGTATGAAGAATACCAACCTTGAGTTTCAGTTGACAGACACTTGGTGTGATACTCATTTACAGTGATGTCTTTTCCGCACACTTAACATATTGCTCGTATTATACATAACCAAGGCTTGACAACAGTAAATGAAAATCTAGAAAAATCTAATCTAAAATTTAGGCCTTACTTTACTGCCTCCATCTCACTCACCGGTTATACAAGTCTGTCATCATTTCAATTTCCAGTTCCGCGACCATCTGTGCCTTAACTGGATCCATTGCTAGAGCTACTGATTTAAAGCTGTTTTCTTCAACATAAACTTCTCACTAAAGTAAAATACTTCTTTGAAACTGCCTCACGTGTTCACTAGTGTATCCGGGCCGCCATCTTGATGGTTAACAGTAATGGAGATATGAAGATCTTTTCGGCTCGATTGTCATCCGCTGTTCGGAAATGAGCCCGCGCCCCTCCCGTCTTATGAAAGATCCCAGAGGAGTCACTAATGGTACGTCCCTGACCCTGCCTCGTACCCAGATGTCTCTCTTTTGATGAAAATTTGCGCGCAAAGGAAGGCGGGAGGACCCTTCCCATGGTCCCCTGCGGTTCATCACCAGTTACTCGTTTCGCGCTCGCCTCTGCCATGCGAAAAACGAAGCGCCTGAGGAGGAGGCTGTCCCTGACCCCGAACAATACTAAAACAATTGGAAGAATGGCATGTCATTGTTTCCTGTGACCAATTAGGAGAGACCTTCCGAGCAGCTCCTACACTACTCTTATGAGCTCTGGACCACGTGACCCACTCGATCAACCCATATAAAGGAATCGCTTGGAGTTGCGCCATAGCGACAGGGGCGAGCAGGACCGAGCCTATCATAAGCTCCTGGTTGTGCATATTGAAAGAAATATCTCTAATATTGCATGTCATATCTCAGGTGCCAGGCGGGCTCCTGATATCTATATAAGCAAAACAAAAATACTAATGCGGTCATACTGAGTTGGATTATAATTGATTTTTTTGTCTAATTTTCCGACGAGCATCCCTGTCTCTTTTATGTAGAAGTTCTACCCAGACGACCCGGCCATGCCTAAGGCGAGAGCATTGCCATATCACCCGACAACTGTTTCGCCCCCATTTGGGCTCATCAACACCTGAAGGGGAACCAGAGGGCACTGCTGTCAGGTTTCTTTGTACCAGCATCTCAACAAAAAGAGATCCGGTAAAAAGGAGTAGTACTCTTACTGACTTTTATTTTGTGTTGTCGTAGTCTGCACTGCATCTTGACCACAAACAAATCCAATTCCGCAAACTTTGATGCATCATGGCACTCGTCAGAGATGGGAAAGCCTTAGCCGAGGGAATCAAAGGAGCGGATCTATGATTTCGATTGGGGAGAGGGGGTGATCATCTCCTAAATGGCTGTTCAATCGATCTGGGGTAGAAATTGGCTGTACCCTGCACAACTAGTTAGAACAAATAATCAAAACCAAGAGGATGCCCTGGTGATCAGTACTCAGTAACTGCTGATTTATTTGGAAAATAACCTGCCTGCTTTTACGTTTCCCTTGCCAGGCAGAAATAACTTGTATAACCTGCCATCAACCTCGTAGACTGCGAGCAGTCTCTCTTTTTCTTCAGGTTTTGTAAGGGAAGTGCACGCGCGCGCGAGCGGCGAAGCTGCCAGACGCACGAAACAAGGGCGGCAGTCACACGCGTGGCCATTTGCCTGTCTCGTGTTTTGCTCGACGGACTACAGAAAAAAGAGAGACTGCTCGTAGTCTATCAACCTCGTCCCCCGGGCTTTTCCCTCAAAAAAAGCCCCGGGGACGAGGTTGACCTGCCATCGCTAAAATACTTTAGAGGCATGCCAATCCGTCCTCTATGCAAGCTTGGCAAAAAGACATTGAAAAGACCTAATAATCAAGTACAAATATTTGTTGATGATGTAAATATATTGCCTAGTCCCTGTACGGCGTTTTCCCAGTCCCTCTCGGTCAATTCGTTTCGGTGACGTATTCGAGGCGAACGGGCGGGAAACGCCTCACATTTTCGCATGGACCACATGACCTAAAACGCTTTGGCCGCGAGGAAAAATGAGGCCGAGGGACTAGGCAGGTAAATATAGGCATTTGCACTCATAAGTGAAAAGTCGTATAAAAATTCAGCTAACATTTGAAATCCACCTCGCTCAGGCATGTCGTAATGATGTCCATCAAAAGAGAAAATTACCCCCTGAGCCAATATTTAGTTGAATGCCGGGTGATATAAGTACTATGGTTCCGCATTATTTCATCTTAACAAAAGTGTTTTTAAAATAAGCACTCTTTGCGTCAACTTTCATGGAGAAATTACCATATTTGTCACCTAGCAATTATCAATGTTCTTATCTTTCACTGTTGAGTTAGTGCCGTGACCCCAGCGTTATAAGTCCAGATGAAGTCAAAGCGGGCGGATCCTCTGTTATTATATTTTTACGTGTAATAAGTAGGTCGCAGTAACAGTTTGCAGTCCTACTTAGTCCAAATGATGGAATTTGAGTGACTCCCCAGTTTCGATGCTGTTACGTAGGGCTGATTGTTAAGAAAACTTTTGCGGCCCCTCTTTGTCGTCTTTCGTAGCTATCGATAACTAGGTTTAGCAGGTGTAGTGGAATTATACCAATCCGGCAAAAAAAAACACCGCTCTACTTCGCTGATCAGGTGTTTTCGATCGAATGCAATACCCACCATTTGATCAATTCGGTTTAATCATTCATCTGGACGCTGTTCCCCTTCAGTCTCGTAGCTGTCTGTCACGACCTCATTTTTTGGAACCAGCTGACGAATAAGATTTGTGAACCTAGGATCGTTCATGGACGAGGCTTTCCTCATCAAATGCGGTGAAATCAGAGCAGGCAACGAAGTTGTGTTGCGTCTTGCTTGCTCTCTTAATCTCGGCTTGACATACATATTTTCTAGTGAGTTATAAGGACTCCTTTCAGGAGAAGAGTCGTCGCTCGATAGGCGATACGCTAAAGTTTTGTGCACTCGTTCATCATTACTTTGAGTTCTCTCTACCGGTAACTTACGGGGTACCGTGGTTTCTGTCCCAGTTGGAGGCAAGCGTAACTGTAATACATCAGGGATCGATTTACCTCGTTTCAGCATTTTTTTCCTAAAGCCTTTAATTGCGAATTCCTTCTCCCATCTCAGCCGACTTTCTTCTTTTCTTTGCCAGTGGTTAATTTGATTGATCTCCTCTTCCAGTTTGCTTTCTTCAAGAACGTTACCTTTCAAAATCATCTGTCCTGTTTTACTGTCTTTAACCTTGAGTGCCCCTTGCAGACTATGTGTTCTTGTCAGTTCCTTGTGCCAAGATTCCATTTGTCTTTTTGTTTTTGTCCAATTAACAGCCAAACGCTAAACAAAGATATGTTTACTTTTAAAAGAAAATTGTTCAGTTTTCTCTAAGAATTTGTTTACGTAGAGTGTGAACAACCGCCGGCTCGGACTTTCATGTCTAAACTATGGTGCGTATAAAGTAAATGACTTGTGTTCTCGCAAGCATGAATGTATAACCTTCATTAACGTTCCCATCTATTGTTTAACGGACTTTCCATTTATTGTTCAGCGCAATTTGCATGTTATTTGTAGAGCACAATACTGTAGGATACACAACAGTGCCAGCGTAATTGTACCTTGTAAGTCCTGATTAAATGAAGCACTAATTGTAAGAACCCTCGGGATTACAAGTCCTTTGCTATCCTCATCTACCCGCGCACGTCCACTTCACGTACTTTTTCTGATACGTGAGTTTACTTTATGACTTGCATGACGTCACACCGACGAGGCGTTATTATGACTCTTAGCACTGTAGAAAAAGGTCACGATAGGTGTTTGATCGAGTTTTGGCTTTACCAGTTAGCTGCGCCTTACGCGAGTTTTCAAAAATTATTTTCAAAACTTGCAATCTGTTACCGCAGAAGACTATTGAGCTTAGGAACCATTCACCCACCTAAGCGTGGACTGAAGTGTCTTCAGGCTTCCGCTGTCTCTATAGCCTATCAGTTGTCCCTCATTTTCCGGCCTCACGGATGACAAGGCGCACGAAATACGCGAGCGCGCATAGAAATTGGCGAGGAAAATGGGGCAGAGTAATGCTCGTAGTCGAACTACTGTCCCTCTGGAAAGTAAGCTGAAGCCAATGCTTGCACTCAAGTGTTTAACTCAGTTTCAAAGTGTGTGGTACCTCCTAGTGTAAACGGACTCGAATGAATATGAATAAAAAGCAAAACTAGAAAGTTTTTTCGACTTTTTCACAGTCAGGAAATGCATCTGTTAGCCTTTTTGGGCCTCTTTACGGACTAAAATGACAGATTTCCCTCCCTTTCATATACCTGAGGCCTGAAAAAGGCACCTCTTTCGGGCGGAGCCTCCCTGTATAGGCCATTATAGGAAGTACCAACCGGGAATCTATCATTTTGCATTATTGCTGGTTTCCACCTGACCTCAAGGCAGCTATGTTGGTGGGACCTAAATTCTATTTTCATGTAAATTCTTCGAGAAAAAATTCTGTTGTATTGATCCTCAACATGGCTAACTTGTCACGTTGTGGTCGACTGCTGAAGGTCGTAAAGGGGTGTTTTGGTATCCCCCGAAATTCTGGAAATTGCTGTGTGGCTTCTTACAGTATAATTGTAAGAGCTTTGTAGTTTGTTTAGTTTTTGTCATGTTTCGACTTCCGAGGGTGTTACTCACGGCTTGGTGGTCGTCTCTCTAACCTCGTTCCCAGGTTCTCTCTCCTACTGCTCTCTCGCTTCGTGGATTCGTAGGGACGGGTATGAGAGAACCCTGGGAACGAGGTTGTCGTCGTTCTTCTGCAGAGGCTCCAGTTGTTTATCCCAATAAAAATAGCAATAATCGCAAAATAGCAAGCGCACGGTGGACGATAGGCGGAGGAAAGCGATTCAGTCTCTATGGATACGTGCGGAAGTCGTTTTCGTCGAGCGTTTTCCGCATTATACTACTACTTGAAAAATTACTGAAATTTGATTGGCTTAGAGCAGTGGTATTTCAGCTTAATTTGAAATACCTATATGTGAAAATTACAACCTTTTGCGGGTAGTAGCATAAACAAATAATAGTATGATTTGTACGTGATATTTGGCATAAATACCACTCGTGATATTTCAAAATTGTCTCAAATTTCACTCGCCTAACGGCTCGTGAAATTACGTATAACAATTTCGAAATATCACGCATAGTATTTATGCCAAATATCACTACAAATCATTCTATTACCTATACAAATTTCAAACGAAATCATCGGATATCAAGTTTTGTTTCGCGTGGACGCTAATGCTACTAGCGACCTCCATCAACCAGGCAAAACAAAAACTCTGAACGTGGAGCACATTTTTGGGCAGATTTCTTTGCCACCTCGCACGACTAACGTTGTCGAACTTGATAGGAATGACCATGTATTCGTCGCAGTTTAATCATCGTTTCATCACATAGCGACCGTCGACCGTCTGAATTCTGGCTTTAGACGCCGGGGAGAAAATAACTGTTATCTGAGATATTATTATTACCAGCTGGGAGTATTTTCCTTAAAGGTAGTAAGTGTTTAAGAGAATCGCTTCTCCAGAATATTTTTCATGCTGATATAAAAATCATAATACTTATTTATATTAGATCCCAGAATCATAGCATAAAGAGAAAGCAGCGAAAAAGAAAACAAAATTTACTCGGCACAAAGTTTATTTTTACTACCCTTTTACCCGAAAATTTAGTTGGTAATCATCGTCTCCAGTTTTAAGAGATCGAATGCTTCTTTACAGTTTTCTTCTATTATTCTTGTCCTATTAATCGGGGCTTCTTGTGTCCAATAATCAGCATTTGCTGAAGAATTCCTTACCGAAGAAAATACATTTTCCTTTTCTTTCAATAATTCTTCTTTGCTCGGAGAAGTGTTTTTTCTGACCCAGTCAAGTATTTTCGGTGACATCTGAAATCCTGCAAACTCGTACATACTTTTTGCGGTTTCAATAGGGTGCTTTGCCAGATCTTGGTAATGTACTTCAAGGTATTTGACACGCCATTTAGAAGGTAGGTTACGTCCAAACTTAATGTTTTGGGCTAATTTTGAGCACTGATATCGAACGGTGTTAGGAAAATGCCAGTGATGATATTCCTCCATCCATCCGAGTTTGATTCTCGAGTTGAAGCTGCCTCGCGGGTCACGCACGAGCTGAATGACGCGGACGTCTGTTTCGGGATTCTCCTCAAGCACTTGTGGTACTACAGAGGACAGTAGATTATCTGGTACTCTTGGCTCGCCTATTTTTGTCACACTGTGTTTAAATTTTGAAAGGCAAACTTCATCTACGTACTCTGGGTTTTTGGAAAAATCTTTGCATGTCCCGTTACAGAAGGCTGCACTTTTAAATGGGTTCTTTACAAAAGCACCACTCCATTGCCTGTCTGTGTAGGAAAGAAATTTAGTTCCTGCCTGGGAATCGGCAAATTTACAGCCTAATATTCCTCTGAGTACATCAACTACATTTCTTTTCCGGTGAGAAACTTCTGTGGGATATTCTCTACTCCATAAACTTGTTATCCAAAGTGGTTCATAAACTGTAAACAGCTGTGGATCTTCAGCGAACATTTTTGTCGTAAAAGTTGTTCCCGAACGATCTGCACCGTAGATCAGGAGACTTCGACGCTTGTCTTCGGGTTTTTTGGTCGGCCGGTAAGTGGACTCAGTTACCGCCGCACTTGCTGAGAGATTTTCTCTTGCGATTAGCCTGTGAGGTGTAGTTAAAGAAGACGTGTCTCGATGGTGTGTTTTTCGAGTAGTATAAAACGAGCGCGTATAATTACCAAAGGGTAAGGGGCTATTCATTGAACCATTTTCGACGGAAATGTTGACAAACATCCACTTATCCCGCACTACTGTGTGAAGACGTTGTGGCGATACGTTCTCTGGAAGAATGTATTTGGTAGTCTGAAGCCTTCTAATAGCGTAAAATATAAAAACTGAAATAAACAGAATCAAAATCATAAATACGTAACATAGGATTCGTGAGTTGACCATTTTCCCGTTTGTACTCGCGCACGGCAGTGGATTTTAGATCAACGTGGCGCAACTTTTTAAAATCTTGATAATCGTGAATTGATTTATATCTTGGGATAATGACAAGTTTTTTGTTTTAAAACTAATGAAAAGAGTAACGCCTCTGAACAGCTCTTTAAGAAAGGATTCAAACATGAAAAACGTGAGATGATGTATGTTACATTATTTATTCAGACAGTGTATTCTGAAAGAGCAAATGAACTAAATAAATTATGTTTAAAATGTGACGAGGAATCGGAGAAGCCAAATAAAATGTTGGTGACCTTGGGCTCAAAGAGTCATTGTTAACGTAGATAACTGAGCGAAGCCTGATTTCGCCTTAAAAGGTGGAATGCTTCGCTAAGATGAAATGGTAACTAAGCGACTCTTCATACAAGATAACAATATGAGGCGGATGGAGAAAGCAATAATCTTGATAGATAGGTGCTTTATTAAAATACGTCACAGCCTTATGTGGCTAAATTGTGCACAGTTGAACCTCTCTGCAATGGCCACCTTGGGGACAGAAGAAAGTAGCCGTTGTAGCCCAGGCGTTCTCGGCTCGGTCAATCCTCGACTGCTCGACTGTATACGTTTGCCGGCTCCTTAGGTTGAATCGTGTGGAAAATGCTGGTGGCGACAGCTTTCTCAGTTTAAAGTGCGCTTACAGATGTTGTGTTGACGTTCTGCTATTTTAGGGAGGCCTAGCCTTTTTAGGGCATGATGGTAGTCCGTATATGGGCAAATAATTCGTACAGCTCTTTTCTGGATGCGCTCTAATTCATTCACTAAATGCTAATTCAGAGGATACAGACAGCAAATTGTTGGTACTTGAGATATCTTTCTGTTCTAACTGTTCATCAGTAGGGCGCCTAAAATGTGTGCAATTCGGCTCCATTAAATTCTATACCAATTGTAGTGCATAGTGAAATACTGTGGCTGTGTTGACTATGACGGAGCTTATACAAGCACTGTAAAAACGAGAGAGGTCACTCTCTCACACGTTGGCCCCGCCCTTTTCAGTTGGATGAGAAAATATAGGCGTTTGGATGCTATTCATAATTACCTTAGTTATATGGGCATTCTAAGTCAGATCGTCAGAAATGGTAAGCCCCAAGAGTTTTGCACTCTGAACTACCGTATTTATTCGATTAAGCGCCCAACCTCGAATTGGGGCCTCTTCGAATAAGCACCCATCCTGCATGGAGGAAAAGCTAAAAAGTGCCCAGCCTCGAATAAGCGCCCACACCCACCCCCCCCCCCCCCAAAAAAAAATACTTAAGTAGACCGAGAAGAGTATAAATTCTTTACTGCCATATTTGCTTCTCATCGACTGACCCATTTGCAGACGTTACGCTGTGAGACATCTACGAGGCAACACCCTTATTGCCCTTACTGACAATGAGAAAGAAATTGACTAGGTACTATTAAGATACTTCCCCGAATACCAAGTTCTCAATCTTTTTTTTTTTAATAAACTTTCAATGAACAGTTATAATTCTGCTCTGGTACATCTTTACGTTTTGTTATTATTCACTGTTTTGTTGGAAAATTAACTCACTACTTGCTGAAAATGATGAAAATTTAATAAGCACCCAGCCTCGAACAAGCGCCAACCTCGAGTGAGCGCCCACTCTCATGGATCAAATTTTTAATAAGCGCCCAGGGCCGAGTTGTTCAAAGCTGGGTTAAGATAACCCAGGGTTAGTGCGAGATTTGAATTAAGATTTGAAAGCTTAAAAAGCAATTCAGTTTTAATTCTTTTTGTCCACAAGTTGATGATTGGAAGCTCTAAATGTGAAAATTACAACCTTTTGCGGGTAGTAGCATAAACAAATAATAGTATGATTTGTACGTGATATTTGGCATAAATACCACTCGTGATATTTCAAAATTGTCTCAAATTTTACTCGCCTAACGGCTCGTGAAATTACGTATAACAATTTCGAAATATCACGCATAGTATTTATGCCAAATATCACTACAAATCATTCTATTACCTATACAAATTTCAAACGAAATCATCGGATATCAAGTTTTGTTTCGCGTGGACGCTAATGCTACTAGCGACCTCCATCAACCAGGCAAAACAAAAACTCTGAACGTGGAGCACATTTTTGGGCAGATTTCTTTGCCACCTCGCACGACTAACGTTGTCGAACTTGATAGGAATGACCATGTATTCGTCGCAGTTTAATCATCGTTTCATCACATAGCGACCGTCGACCGTCTGAATTCTGGCTTTAGACGCCGGGGAGAAAATAACTGTTATCTGAGATATTATTATTACCAGCTGGGAGTATTTTCCTTAAAGGTAGTAAGTGTTTAAGAGAATCGCTTCTCCAGAATATTTTTCATGCTGATATAAAAATCATAATACTTATTTATATTAGATCCCAGAATCATAGCATAAAGAGAAAGTAGCGAAAAAGAAAACAAAATTTACTCGGCACAAAGTTTATTTTTACTACCCTTTTACCCGGAAATTTAGTTGGTAATCATCGTCTCCAGTTTAAAGAGATCGAATGCTTCTTTACAGTTTTCTTCTATTATTCTTGTCCTATTAATCGGGGCTTCTTGTGTCCAATAATCAGCATTTGCTGAAGAATTCCTTACCGAAGAAAATACATTTTCCTTTTCTTTCAATAATTCTTCTTTGCTCGGAGAAGTGTTTTTTCTGACCCAGTCAAGTATTTTCGGTGACATCTGAAATCCTGCAAACTCGTACAAACTTTTTGCGGTTTCAATAGGGTGCTTTGCCAGATCTTGGTAATGTACTTCAAGGTATTTGACACGCCATTTAGAAGGTAGGTTACGTCCAAACTTTATGTTTTGGGCTAATTTTGAGCACTGATATCGAACGGTGTTAGGAAAATGCCAGTGATGATATTCCTCCATCCATCCGAGTTTGATTCTCGAGTTGAAGCTGCCTCGCGGGTCACGCACGAGCTGAATGACGCGGACGTCTGTTTCGGGATTCTCCTCAAGCACTTGTGGTACTACAGAGGACAGTAGATTATCTGGTACTCTTGGCTCGCCTATTTTTGTCACACTGTGTTTAAATTTTGAAAGGCAAACTTCATCTACGTACTCTGGGTTTTTGGAAAAATCTTTGCATGTCCCGTTACAGAAGGCTGCACTTTTAAATGGGTTCTTTACAAAAGCACCACTCCATTGCCTGTCTGTGTAGGAAAGAAATTTAGTTCCTGCCTGGGAATCGGCAAATTTACAGCCTAATATTCCTCTGAGTACATCAACTACATTTCTTTTCCGGTGAGAAACTTCTGTGGGATATTCTCTACTCCATAAACTTGTTATCCAAAGTGGTTCATAAACTGTAAACAGCTGTGGATCTTCAGCGAACATTTTTGTCGTAAAAGTTGTTCCCGAACGATCTGCACCGTAGATCAGGAGACTTCGACGCTTGTCTTCGGGTTTTTTGGTCGGCCGGTAAGTGGACTCAGTTACCGCCGCACTTGCTGAGAGATTTTCTCTTGCGATTAGCCTGTGAGGTGTAGTTAAAGAAGACGTGTCTCGATGGTGTGTTTTTCGAGTAGTATAAAACGAGCGCGTATAATTACCAAAGGGTAAGGGGCTATTCATTGAACCATTTTCGACGGAAATGTTGACAAACATCCACTTATCCCGCACTACTGTGTGAAGACGTTGTGGCGATACGTTCTCTGGAAGAATGTATTTGGTAGTCTGAAGCCTTCTAATAGCGTAAAATATAAAAACTGAAATAAACAGAATCAAAATCATAAATACGTAACATAGGATTCGTGAGTTGACCATTTTCCCGTTTGTACTCGCGCACGGCAGTGGATTTTACATCAACGTGGCGCAACTTTTTAAAATCTTGATAATCGTGAATTGATTTATATCTTGGGATAATGACAAGTTTTTTGTTTTAAAACTAATGAAAAGAGTAACGCCTCTGAACAGCTCTTTAAGAAAGGATTCAAACATGAAAAACGTGAGATGATGTATGTTACATTATTTATTCAGACAGTGTATTCTGAAAGAGCAAATGAACTAAATAAATTATGTTTAAAATGTGACGAGGAATCGGAGAAGCCAAATAAAATGTTGGTGACCTTGGGCTCAAAGAGTCATTGTTAACGTAGATAACTGAGCGAAGCCTGATTTCGCCTTAAAAGGTGGAATGCTTCGCTAAGATGAAATGGTAACTAAGCGACTCTTCATACAAGATAACAATATGAGGCGGATGGAGAAAGCAATAATCTTGATAGATAGGTGCTTTATTAAAATACGTCACAGCCTTATGTGGCTAAATTGTGCACAGTTGAACCTCTCTGCAATGGCCACCTTGGGGACAGAAGAAAGTAGCCGTTGTAGCCCAGGCGTTCTCGGCTCGGTCAATCCTCGACTGCTCGACTGTATACGTTTGCCGGCTCCTTAGGTTGAATCGTGTGGAAAATGCTGGTGGCGACAGCTTTCTCAGTTTAAAGTGCGCTTACAGATGTTGTGTTGACGTTCTGCTATTTTAGGGAGGCCTAGCCTTTTTAGGGCATGATGGTAGTCCGTATATGGGCAAATAATTCGTACAGCTCTTTTCTGGATGCGCTCTAATTCATTCACTAAATGCTAATTCAGAGGATACAGACAGCAAATTGTTGGTACTTGAGATATCTTTCTGTTCTAACTGTTCATCAGTAGGGCGCCTAAAATGTGTGCAATTCGGCTCCATTAAATTCTATACCAATTGTAGTGCATAGTGAAATACTGTGGCTGTGTTGACTATGACGGAGCTTATACAAGCACTGTAAAAACGAGAGAGGTCACTCTCTCACACGTTGGCCCCGCCCTTTTCAGTTGGATGAGAAAATATAGGCGTTTGGATGCTATTCATAATTACCTTAGTTATATGGGCATTCTAAGTCAGATCGTCAGAAATGGTAAGCCCCAAGAGTTTTGCACTCTGAACTACCGTATTTATTCGATTAAGCGCCCAACCTCGAATTGGGGCCTCTTCGAATAAGCACCCATCCTGCATGGAGGAAAAGCTAAAAAGTGCCCAGCCTCGAATAAGCGCCCACACCCACCCACCCCCCCCCCCAAAAAAAAATACTTAAGTAGACCGAGAAGAGTATAAATTCTTTACTGCCATATTTGCTTCTCATCGACTGACCCATTTGCAGACGTTACGCTGTGAGACATCTACGAGGCAACACCCTTATTGCCCTTACTGACAATGAGAAAGAAATTGACTAGGTACTATTAAGATACTTCCCCGAATACCAAGTTCTCAATCTTTTTTTTTAAAATAAACTTTCAATGAACAGTTATAATTCTGCTCTGGTACATCTTTACGTTTTGTTATTATTCACTGTTTTGTTGGAAAATTAACTCACTACTTGCTGAAAATGATGAAAATTTAATAAGCACCCAGCCTCGAACAAGCGCCAACCTCGAGTGAGCGCCCACTCTCATGGATCAAATTTTTAATAAGCGCCCAGGGCCGAGTTGTTCAAAGCTGGGTTAAGATAACCCAGGGTTAGTGCGAGATTTGAATTAAGATTTGAAAGCTTAAAAAGCAATTCAGTTTTAATTCTTTTTGTCCACAAGTTGATGATTGGAAGCTCTAAAAATAAGAGGGAAAATTATCCGAGAAAATGCTTTTGAACTCAAGAAAAAGAAACCAGGGTTAAATTTAACCCCGGGTTACGCGCTAACCGGCCTTCGAACAACTGGGCCCTGCAGGGCGCCTAATCAAATAGAATACGGCATCTAATGTTTTCACCATCTATGACTACATTCACTAAACTTTCAGCTTTTCGGCTATAATGTCTATTCGTTCTTGGTTAGAAGAAATCTGTCAATCGTAGTATTCTGATAACAGCTAGAACCATTTGAACAGGCACTGAGACGTCGTCCTCGGACCATCCCCCGCTTCCTTATGCACCTAAATCCAGTGGCCTTAGCACTTGATAAAACTGCTGCGCGGGCCGTGGTCAGTTACAATTTGAAATTATTTCATATTTAACAGAGTCGGGTACGTCAATATTCCGGTCTGCATGTTTATTTATCTTGAGCAACTATCGAAAAAATCGTGCATCTTATTAGCTCTCGCTTCTGGAGATAAAACTCAGATAATTAAAGTAATTCTATGTGACGCTATTTTCCTATGTGACTCTTTTGTCCTTCGTCCCTTCGCATGAGTCACTGCGTGCCTTAACCTAACCCCTAACACCCTAAAAAAAAAAAAAAAACAGCTAAATAGCGACTGGGTACGAGTCTGACAGAGGTGCGCGTTTTGAGCAGAGAGAACTGAAACAGTTCGGTGGGCCATCAAGATTTATAATCACTTTTGTAACCAGTCTTCTGCCTCGAAATCTCGACTGTGCAGAGGAACTGATATATTCCTCTGAAGCTCGTACGAATTGTGTACAGGCCTATAACCCATTAACTGCATCACATGTTTACAGTACATTTCAATGGTAGTTATATCATTAGGATCAGTCACTTTCCATCTCCAGCGATTGATAGCGGCTTCTGCATCATCAACAGTATATGCGGCGTCATAACCCCGCTGTATATTCACGTCTTCTCTTTGCTTAGACGGGTGGGTACTCCTATTCAGCCAATTCGTAACACTGTCCAAGACTGAAAGACCGGCAAACTTGTACAAGCGCTTCATTTCTGCTATTGGGTGGCCAGCCAAATCTTCATATCGAAGTAATTTTAGTTGGTTACGCAGCCTAGCAGGGAGATTTTTTAAAACTTCAAGGTTCGCTTCCGTTTGTTCGCATAAGTTGTAACTAAACATCCTTGTACCTAACTTGGCGGCCCCGCCCTGCTCACGATAGAAATCCACAGACAATGAAGAAGGGACAACCGCTCGTGGATCCCTTACTAGGAACACGATTTTACAGTCCACTTGCTTAGGGGCACAAGCAGAGATTATACTTTGAAGACTTTTGTATGGAACACGGTGAATTAACACTTTGATAACAGTAAGTTTATGTTGTCTGCAAGCATTTTCCAGTGATTTAGTTGTCATTTTTGCGCACAGTTTAAAATCCCATCGTTTGTCTGACACGTTGTAAGGGCACAATGGAGGCGAAGCAATGGCGCGACTGATCAGAGGGTGCAGTGGCCTGCGGTAATACAATTCCATGTCTTTAACAAAATTTGCCTCATCAAATCTACATTGGAAAACACTTTTCAAGAATTTTTGCGCCAGAATGTCGTAATCCGACTTGAACTGTTCCCGAGTTCTCTCCACTGTTTGAAGAGGTTCATACAAGTAAAACACATCAGGATGCTGGTTGAAAATATCCCCTGTTATGGATGATCCGGAGCGACCATGAGAAAAAATGATCAAGTTCTTTCTTGCTGTAGTGTTAAGATGCAAGCGTAAAGCGACGTTTTTCGTTTTCACTTGATCGAAGGCCTCTGATGACAAAGAAGAAATTAAGTAGGCCATAATCAATTCAAACAGAACGTAGAATAGGATAAACCCAGCTACAAAAACACGAGCCAACAGCAGAAACTGTCTTCTTTCCTTGAAAGTCATCGAGTTGTCTGCTTTCATAAAAATAAAAGAAGAGTTATGTCAGATTTATTTGTACATTTTGGGAATATTTGGGAAACCAATGAATATAAGATCAGGCGATAATTATTGCGCTTACCTCTGGAAAAATTAATTGAATGATCACAGTACGATGGCCGACACTTTGCCGTAACGACGTATGCTTTCCCTTAGTTACTCTGTCAAGCTCTCGGTCACCACTGGTCACCGAGGGATAAAGAGTGCCCAAGGATGTGACAGAAATTTGATCTTGGGCGCTATTAGGAGATTTAAGATCAAACTTCAATTTGTAATTTGTCTATTTAATGACCACGAAAGTTGCCTCTTAAGTTGGTGTTCGCTGTTCGTCACTTCTACACAAGAACAAAAAGTTTCACGTATAAAGGTTCATCCATAAGAATTATTTTTCACACTTTTTGTCTATTTAACAGATTGACAACGAATGTTTGCTACAGTAACTCGACTCAGTTTTAACCTCGGTTCGGTATGGTGCGTCTTAGCTATTCGGGTGTATTTCAAGACACGAAGACATTCAGTTATGTGCCTCAGTTTCCGAAACGAGAGGTTTGCTTGATACTAAGACAATAGCGGATCGACTAAACTCTGAATTTTAAAAAAACTAAGCTTAATTTTTCAAAGAGAAATTATAGCTGAAGTTCTGGAAGGTTTTCTTTTGAAAAGTTGCGGAAAACTAGCATCACATGTGGAACATTTATTCAACATCAAAAAGCATTTGCCCTGTTTCTATCACTAATAACATGACCAGGGATCATTTTTCAATGTTATTCAGTAAGCACTGATCTGTTCAACCAATTTTCATTCCGAACTGCAATTTTCAGTAGTATGTCAAAAGTATTGTTACTTTGTTTCTCCATGTTTGTTCTAGCGACTCCTTAGTTTGTACTAAAATAGTAACTCAGTTTTTAATTATCAGTAGTATGTTAATGGTACGTTTGTCACCAAGAGAGGTTCTCTCTTAGTTAACACTAATAGGCCATTTCTGAGTTCCAAAAACTCTCACTTTCAAAGCGAGGCTAAATGACCTAAATGCAAAACCTTTCTTATGACAACGAGAATAGAAAAAAAAACTTTTATAGATCGTTTTCACTGTCACGCAACAAAAAAATAAGCTGGAAACCGTCCAGTGGAAGAAGCCAAGAAAATGAAATGTTATAAAAGACTAATATATAAAAATTTGTCCAAGTCTCAGGTCTTTGTGGCCCACAGTTTCTGAGTTATTTGCCGAAACGTTTCACGCACCTTTGTAGCCCCTTGGAGAGCTTTGTATGGAGACGCCATATTGGTGCACCGTTTTGGTGTACCAATATGGCCGCCGGAAATCAACAAAAGCATCTGGAGTCCACTTTTTCCATAAAGCTCTTTCTTTTCACTCGAGAACTAGCATACTCGCCCATAAACATATCTTCTAATACTTGAAACGGTCATACTGCTGAAAATCAAGAGGGAGACTTTTTTTAAATGAGACAGATATTTTGGTGTCACGCACTGTGAAAACTTAGAAGTTCAAATTGCTGTAGGTATTTTCGAAATGAAACATGCGACGGGAATGGAAACTTGTACAAAAGTTTTACTTTTTGTTTATCTTCAACCTAGTGTAAATAAGAATCCGTAAAACCTCGCTATTTTGCCTTTACAATTTGATGACGTCACTGCGAAAACCCTGTTTCGCAATGGAAATTTAGTTCACCCATGCGCTCTCGCAGAACCACCCGGTTAATTATTACCTTCTCAAGTTAATACCGAACTACAACACGCACATATTTTAGCGTCCATGGCAACATAGGGGCCCCTACCTTTTTTAACCAATGAAATCTCACCATTTATGTAATGTATGCAAATGGAATTTATCATGGCGGACTTTTGGAGATCGACAGAGCAGTTGTTGTCGAAAATGTGAGGAAAATCGACCAAATTGTGATCCTTTTCGACAAAATCGCGTCGTTAAGGTGGACTTAGCTGAACACAAGATGTGAAAATCTACATAAATGTTTCATTCCAAATTACAAAGACTCCGAATTTTATTCAACATCACAAGAGTACAGGGAGAAGATGTGAAACCTTCCTGAAGAACGTACGGAGGGTTTCACAGCGGTCAAACGAATGAAATTTGCAAAAGTTAGCGAAATACTTCAAAGTTAAGGTTGCTACTTTCACTATCGAAAGTTTAGGGTATTACCAACATCCTGTTAGTTTACTAAACTTTTTAAAAGTTTACTAAAAAAGTTCTAAGCGATTGAAAACCGATGCTGACGTTATTATCGGCGCCATTTTCAAACCTGATTCTCTTTTAGCGCGAAGCGTTTTCAGCGAAAAAAGCTCAAAATTTTGAGAAAAATGGAAAGATAGTTATGTTGACTAACTGATTTATACATCTTTGCCCATTTTTTTCTAACTGGTAAATGAAATCCCAGCAATAAAAAACAAAAATAACGATTTAGACGTTTGACCGCGGTGGTTACGGAGGGTCGTACGGAGGTAAGTGTTTTAATCCGAATTGTTTGAACACTCATTTCAGGCGTTTTTAATATGTGAAGATCGGCCGTTAGGTGACTCCATTTTGAATTTCTGAGATAATCAGCTTCGAACATTTGACGGAAAAATTCAGTTTGGGTTGTAAACAGTGCCATAATTAACAAGTTTATTTGAAAGTTACTTGGTTAAATCTTAAATATAAGCTTACATGAGTATTTACTCGTTCGTAGAAGCCGAAAAGGGCTCTTCTCTCGCATGCTAACTCTTTCGTGCTTCATTGCTAGCACCACTATTTTACAGAGGGAAATTTTCGCACTACAAATGTAACTTCAGTGAGTATAACATATTTCATGAACTTCCCCAAAGTGAAAAGGATAAGCTTATTCGTTTGCTTTTTGCTTTAAATTCCTTTCTTTAGGCTTCGGAGCTTTTCCTGCGAGTGATGGGCTCGTGGCAATATGATGATTAACTAGTATCTGCCGCAATCTCACATCCTGCTTCTTGACGTGATCAAAATGCTGTGACTGTGTGTTGAACTCGGAATGGATTCCTTCGATCCCTTGTTCACCGTAGAATCCAAGGCCCATGTGCCATTGTCGTAGAAATGGACAAACATGGTCTTCTAGCATATGAAGCTTTGGTGTGATTGCTATGCCAGGGAGGTTTTCTCTGATAAACTTCAGGAACTTTTTGATGTGTGCATCTAGAAAAGGTGAATGAGACTTAACTTACTGAGCAGATACAGAACAACGCATGTGACGTACATTTCTATTGTCTTTGTTACAAAAAACCTCAGTTTGTTATTTCACATACATACATACATACTTTATTTGTCATGTAGGTCAGTAAAAAAGGCACCTAAAGAGCTGATGTGGACCTACAAACTAAAAAGTATCTACAAAAAAGTAAATAATAATATTAACAAACCAATGAATTATTTACAATGAGTAAAGAAAAATAAAAAAATACCTAGCAAGATAAACAACAGTTAATTGACTGTTGCCTTAATATATATAATTTACAATATCTTTATTTATTCCCTGTAACCCATTAAATGTTATTTTATCTAAAATGTCAGATTTTTCTTTAAGAGCAGATTTAAAAGAACCAATATTGGGTTTGCTCTTTAAGTACATGGGTAAGTTATTCCATAAAATAGACGCACGATGGAGAGAAGGAAGATCGAAGGAAGTCACTTTTAGGGCAACGCACGTATAGTTTCAGACTGTCCCTGAGATTTTTTGATAGAGAATGTTTAATAAATAGAGAATTTATACCAGCCGGAGCCCTGTTGTAAAATGCTTGATAAGATATGGTTGCAATCCTCTTTTTGTACATGTATGATAAAGACTTCCATTTTGTCGCTGCCAGGACCTCAGTGCTAAGAGTAGAATTCTTTATGTTAAAAATAAATCTCGCTGCTCCGATGTGAATGTCCTCCAGGGTTTGAAGAGATTTTGAAGATCCCCATAATGCAATTGAATATGTAATACTTGGAATGATACCTTTGAAATAAATTGACTCTAAGATGCGACTGTCGATCTTCGATAGCTGGTCGATCTTCTCATCATCAAGGTATTCTGCACTATCATAGACAAAATGGCAAGCAGCAAATAATTTGAAGGCTTGTTCAAACTTGACACTACTTTCTCTTGCCTTAGAAAGCAAGGAAGGACACAGCTCTTCTGTTTTTGCCACTACAGCACTGCATAATTTATTGATATTGCTTGCCTAAAGAAAAAGACAGCAACAAATTGTATTATTAATGGCAGTTCATGTGTTTGCCTTTTTGTAGTTTTCATCTCTTATTTAAGTTTGAATGTTTGTTACCTTGCAGCAGGTGTGCACGTGGTTACCAATGAATGATTTTCCATGGTAGGCCTGTCGCTCAACATTCATTTCCTTCAGGACGACATTCAAATGCCTTGTTAGTGCTCCATCGGATCGATCAAAGCCTGCCAATTCTATCTGCTCGTGTGCACGTTTTTCCTGTAATTAAATGTAAAGAGAACATAATTACATTATTCAGAATGTGGATCTTCATGGTCTAAAACAGCTTCATCAGAACAATAATTTAAAAAGGTTATAGATTTTGGTCTGTTTGATGGAGTTAGTCACATGAACATTCTTGATATTATAGTATATACTGTTTTGTTACCTCTTCCTTTGCACCTTTAAGGAGTCTGTCAATTTCATTTTGCATTGACGTGAAGAAGGCAGGCATAATAGTCACATCAGAATGCAAACTCTGTAAATTCAATAATTCCTGTAAAGAATTTGCTTTCTCATGCAACTGTTGTGCCTGACAATAGTGTTGATGAGCAGCTCTGAGTGCCAAGATTCTTTCATCATTTCGGTCACTGTCAGCCGCCAGCTCCATTTGAATTCTTTTGTCCAGCTCAGCACACTGGTTCTCAAGTTCGTCAAATAGTTTCTTGAAAACACCCAAGCTGATGTGAAGTCCAGGAACACAAACCTAAAGAAAGAATCAGATTGTTAAGCTTCCTAGTTAATGCCCTGTTATATTAGTATTTGTTTTTCCTAAGCAAAAACATATGTTGATAGTATACTTACTTTTTCCAGTTCAATGTCCAGCAGTTTCTCATGGGTCACATTGTGATAAAACTTCTGTCGACTTGTGACACAGCCATCTGCAACAAACTTGTTATAGTCTTCTTCAATGTTCTTAACATTTCTCTTTTCTATGTGCCCACTACGAGGATCCTGGCAAGAGAGTTGCATCGTCTCATATGTTATCAGACACCAGAGGCATGGATACTAGCCTGCAAGAAATGAATTCACACTTACGAATACTCCTTCCATAGAGAGTGTTTTAAAGCTACAACTTAGGATAATTTAGGTGCTACAATATAAATCAAATATTTTTTTGTTTTGTTTTGTATGTGTGAATTATTAGTTGAACTTACCTGAGGCTCCAGCTGTACCAAATATCTTGCACAAAAACTCGTAGTCACCAAAGAGGAAAACTATTTGCTTTTTGCCTCTAAAAATAAGTAAAAAAAATTATTGCAGAATTTCAGCAGGATACCTCACTCAGTGTGGAGGTTTTATCCTGTATGGTTTATAAGGAATCTATAGTACATTTACAGTGTATGTACCAACCTCCAAATAGCTTCCTTTAGGATGTTTACTTGCTCCCTGTATTTCATTAATGCTGTTTTTAAATTTGTCCATGTATCTTTTCCGTGGAACATGGCAAAAACCACTGTATTTGTTTTTGAGTTTGGATGTTGAAGGTTGGCAATCTGAAAAGCCATTTTAAAGGACCCACCACCAGCATCACCTCCAAGTTTTAAGTGGACTTGCTGTTCTGGGATGGCATTATTCCATGTCAAGCGTCCATTCCTAAAATAAAGAGTCTGTTGTTTAATTGAAAGCGATAATTCTTGCAAGAGGCAGTGCCAAAAGCCTACTTTACATTTACAATGATTGACATTGCTGCTACAGTAACATTCATAACAGTATAAAAAGTCAAAGAATTATACTTTTCATTTTCATCCAAATGAAGTTGTACAAATTGGTTAAGGTCAGCAACATAACCAAACTCTGCTTGTTTGATCTCAGGGTTGCAGCCAGGTTTTTTGAACTCAAAAGGCACCATCTCACACACCAAGTTGGCATGGTCAGTGATGGACTGGACTAGCTTCCGCTGGTGTTTCTCACTCTCAGAGGACAGTCCCCATTGATCAAACCACCTGCAGGGAGACAATTCAGGACAATATTATTATAATGTAAAAAACTAGGTGGAAATTGACTTTGTTATTACTTATTGTTGCTACATTATTTTACATTCAATTGGAATATTATGTAGTTTACACAGGTCAAAGGAATTCAGGAAATAATCAAATTAATAATAGGAGACAAAAAATAATTTTTACTCAAATGTTGTGTGGATTTCTGGGGGCTGGATTCATTATTTAAATCTTACCTCCTAGGCTTCCTAACTTTGTACCATGTTTCTCCAAGGTCTGCCTTCATTGCAAGTATGTCACTCCTGGGGATGGTTATTTTAAATTCTTTTCCCAAGGCTTCCTTCAGCAGTGCTTCTCTCTCCAGTCTACCCATTGCTTTCAATTCATCCACCAACTGGGTCCCTGCAGCACCACCACTTACAGCTGTTCTGGTATCTGCTACT